ATCCTTAGTGGTTCTGGCCTTGACACAGAACTTGGACTTTAGAGGCAGCAGGGGACCACTGAAGAACTTTAAGCAAAGTCGTGGCATGACTGGATTGCATTTGATAAAGATTATCCTGGGATCCGCATGGGGATAAATTAGAGTGAATTGAAGCCAGAAGCTGGGAATATAGAGAAGAGAGCCAAAGACAAATCCCCAGGACACTAACATATAGAAAGCAGTAGAGAATGAGGATCCAGAAAATGAGGGGAGACTGCTTGGCCTATGAAGTAAGATGAAAATCAAACAAGTGTGGTATCATGCAAGCCTAGAACAAGTTGATTCAAAAGAAGAGTGTAGTTAAATACATTATAACCCAAGAACTCTACTTCCAGGTATTATCAAACGGAAACCACATCTAAGGAGATTTTTATAACAATGTTCCTAGAAGGACTGTTTGTAACAACTGAACAGTGAAAACAAACTGTCTGTCTACAACATAATGGGTAAATTGTAGTCTATTCAGACAATGGAATACTTGAATGATTGGCAACTTGAATGATTCTCCTAACAAAATGTTGAATAAAAAGAGTAAGTTGCAGAAAAAGATACTTAAGAATAATCTTTTTAATACGGAGGTTAAAAACATTTTTTAAAAAAACCACTACATTTTATATAGGAAAACACATGTAGCGAAAGTACAAAACAAGTGTGGGAACAAGAAATACCAATCAGTATAGTGACTACATCTGGGAGCACAGGAAGGAATTGGGGGGTGAGGGGGAGAGAAAGGTGCTCTTCAAATGATTTGATGCTTTTCATTCTTTTAATTAGAAGGCAAATACACATGTACATTATATAAACAAGAGTGGTTCACTAGGTCAAATGCTACTGTCGGATCAAAACACAGAGGTTAATGAGTTAATGCTTGGATTTGAAAAGGCAGATCAAGACTAAACTTGCTAAGAACCATTTCAGTAGCACAGTGAGGGATTAAAGGCGTGTGAGTAGCTTAAGGAGACAATGGGGGTGTGAAAGTGAAGATAACCAGTACAGGCAACTTTTAGAAGAATTCTACTATGATGTGGAACAGAGAAATAGAGTATAGAGTTAGCAGGAGAAACGGATCAGTGAA